ATTGTGTATGATACATATGAATGTGGGCTGTGTATGGGGACTGCTTGTGGAATTGTGTGCGGATGGATATGTCACATTGTGTGTTTGGTAGTGTGTGGGGGCTGTTTGGGATATTGCATGTGAGAGGCTGCATGTGGGGTTGTGTGAATGTATGGGTATTGTTAGTGGTGTTGCGTTTGTGGGGATTGTGTGTTGTGTGTGTGTGTGTGTGTGTGTGGGCTGTTCATATTATTTGTATGAGGGGATGGTTATTCTGCATTTCTTTGTATATCTAGCAGTGTGGGTGGGTTCCAGTGGGGACCAGGAGCTGCGATAGCTGTCGAGGGCTGCTCTACTACAGTGTGGATTCCCATTCACAAGTGCTGGGAGGAAGTGATCTGAGATCACTTCCTCTATGTGCTGCAATGCATAAATTGAGGATTGTCCTTCACCACCTCTTCGTATTAGCAGATATCTTAAGTTTTACTGGAACTCCTGATAGGCCAGAGTGCGTTGAGAGGCTTGAGTGCCGTGCAAAGACACCTCGAGTGCCGTGCATGGCACTAGTGCCGTAGGTTGCCTACCCCTGACCTAGGACATTACCAAGCATCTGCTATTGTCAGCTGCCCCAATTACCTCATACGGAAGGAGGTACATTTCCAAGTTCTGAACCAGACAAAACTAGAAAAAAAAATTCCACTGTAATTTAAGGTAAAATATTCTATATGTATACGGAACACAACACCAAGTATGAATAAAATGCTACAATTAGGAAAATGAAAAAAAAATGTGTTTGCTTATAATCAAAATAGATTCATGTTATCAGTCCTGAATCTTAAATGCTTCATTTGTCTTGGATCTAAATACATTTTTGGTAGTTACAAACAATCATTTTAAAAATATATTATCAAATTACACTTTTAACTTTTGTTGAATTTAATTATTTTTCAGGGGTGATGTGCAAACCAACACCATGGAAAAAAAGCTAACCCCCACCAACACTATCCCTAATCCTATGCTTACACTAACTCTAACCAAATACCTTACATTACCCCTTACCTTAACCCTTGTTAAGACTATCCCTAACCCTAAAACAGCATTAACCCTAACCTTACTGCAAACCTTAACCCACGCTACACTCAGTGGTGTATACACACTGACAGTCACACACACTCAATGACAAACACACAGACTCACTGATCTGACACACACTCATTCATTGACACACACACACACTGATTGACACTCATTGACAGACACACTGATAGTCACACACAGACTCAATGACAAAGATACTCTCACTGATTTGACAGACACTCACAAACACACACTGACAGACACACACAAACATTGACACACTCATACACTCACATGCAACACTCATACAATCACTCACAGACACACACACTCATACAATCACTCACAGACACACACACTCACTCACATACACTCACTCACACACAGACACACATATACACTCACAGACACTCACTCACAGACACACATACACTCACACACAGACACACATACACTCACACACAGTCAGTCACACAGACACACACACTCACACACAGTCACTCACAGACACACATACACTCACTCACACACAGACACACATACACTCACACACACACGCACTCACAGACACACATACAGTCACACAGACACACACACTCACAGACATTCACTCACAGACACACATACACTCACTCACACACACACATACACTCACTCACACAGTCACTCACAGACACTCATACACTCACTCACAGACACACATACACTCACTCACAGACACACATACACTCACACACATACACTCACTCACACACAGACACACATACACTCACACACATACACTCACTCACACACAGACAAACATACACTCACTCACACACACACTCACAGACACTCACTCACTCACAGACACACAGAAAGTCACTCACAGACACACATACACTCACACAGACAGTCACTCACAGACACACATACACTCACACACAGACACACATACACACACTCACACATACACATCACATACACTCTCTAACTTTTTTAATAAATAAACATTTTCCACCCAGCCTCCTTACCTGGAGAGCTGGTGTGGATGATGAATCATTCCCTGGGGTCTAGTGGGGCTGCTGGGCGGCGTGCGGCAGTGGTGTGATCAGACGCAGCGAGAGAGCTCTAATCTCCATGCTCTGCTCCCTCGCGGACTGTCTACTGATGCCGCGGGAGCCGGAATATGATGTCATATTCTGCTCCCGCAGCATCAGCAGACGGCGCGCTAGGGAGCAGAGTGTGGAGATTAGAGCTCCCTCGCCGCATATGATCACACCACTGCCGCACGCCGCGCTGGGGGTCCAGAAGGTGGCCTGGCAGGAGGGAGAGCTTCCCTCCTGCCGGTCACTGAAATCTTGCACCCCTGTAGCCGGTGCGGCCGCCTGTGCCGCCTTATGGACGCGCCAGCCCTGACTGCATGTAGCGCATTTGCTCAAACTACATTGCAGCAAACAAGGATTTTTGTAATGCTGGAAGTCCTCATGCAGATCGTGAGGATGTCCAGTGTCAGTTAGGTGGACAAAAGTCGCCTAACCACCAGGAAGTACCTCTAGTGGCTGTCTGATTAACAGCCATTAAAGGCAGCCTTTACCCTGCAAGGTAATTATTGCAGTTTATCAGAAACTGCAATAGTTGCCATTGCAGGGTTAAGGGGACAGGGTTACTGGTCAATGAGCTGAAGTGGTCTTGGTGCCCATAGTGTCACTTTAAGGACAGCAGCCACAAATATCTGATTAATGACCTTAACCCCTTCAGACCGGAGGACGTACAATTACGCCATATTTTAGGCGGCTCTAAACGCCGGCGGGCATAATTGTACGCCCTCCGGTTTTTGTTTACTTACCCGGTCGCCGGCGGTCCCACGCCGGCGATCACGGTGGGGGGGACTCCCAGGGAGCCCCTCTGCAGTAGATCCTTCTCCTCCGGTGCCCACCGGCCATGTCAGAGTGGGGTCCTTGCGAGGACCCCACAATCACATGGCCGGGGGTAGCTGCCTCCTGCATTGCCAGCAGGGGGGCTGCCTGTAATAAAATTTATTAGTGTAAAAAAAAAAATATATATATACTTAGATCATATATATATATATATATATATATATATATATATATATATATCATATATATATGATCTAAGTATATATATACACATATACATACACACACATACACTGTCTAGGTGTATTTTACTATTAATATATATATAATTATATATATATATTAATATCAAATTACACGTAGACTGATACTGATTAAATATATATATATAATTATTGTTATATATATATATATATTTATACATAATATAAAAAAATGTAATATGTAAATACGTTAAAAAATAAAATTTAAAAAATAATTTAAAAAATTAATTAAAAAATATATAGATGTGTGTTATTTCGTTCTAACTGTATTGTGATATTAATATATATATTTATATCAAAATACACGTAGAACGAAATATATATATCTACATACATAAATATATACGTATATATCACTATAAATACCTATATATAAATAAAAATATTAAAAAATTATATAGATATACACATATAGATTCACATACGTATATATATATATATACATATATTAATTCTACATATATATTTATGTAATATTTTTACATAATTAGGTATCTTAATTAATTACAATTAGCGGGACCTGCCTGACAACCCATGCCGAAAGTAAAGGGAATTTAATTTTCTAGCACTATATTTAACCCTATAACTTTCCAAGACACCATAAAACCTGTACATGGGGGGTACCGTTCTACTCGGGAGACTTCGCTGAACACAAATATTAGTGTTTTGAAACAGTAAAATGTATTACAACGATGATATCGCCAGTAAAAGTGAAGTTGTTTGCATTTTTCATGCACAAACAGCACTTACACGGACGATCTTATTGCTGTGATACTTTTTACTGTTTTGAAACACAAATATTTGTGTTCAGCGAAGTCTCCCGAGTACAACAGTACCCCTCATGTACAGGTTTTATGGTGTTTTCAAAAGTTACAGCGTCAAATGTAAGGCTTGCGTTTCATTTTTTTCACATAAAAATTCGCCAGATTGGTTACGGTGCCTTTGAGACCCTATGGTAGTCCGAGAATAAAAATTACCCCTATGATGGCATACCATTTGCAATAGTAGACAACCCAAGGTATTGCAAACGGGGTATGTCCAGTCTTTTTTAGTAGCCACTTAGTCACAAACACTGGCCAAAATTGGCATTTTTTGCATTTTCACACACAAACAAATACTAACGCTAACTTTGGCCAGTGTTTGTGACCAAATGGCTACTAAAAAAGACTGGACATACCCCATTTGCAATACCTTGGGTTGTCTACTATTGCAAATGGTATGCCATTATGGGTGACTATAAAGTCCCAAAGGCAATGTAACCAATTTGGCGAATTTCAATTTCAAATGTAACGTGCTATATTTGACCCTGTAACTTCCTAAAACGCCATAAAACCTGTACATAGGGGGTACTGTTTTACACGTGAGACTTTGCTGAATACAAATATGTGTATTTTATTGCAGTAAAAGCAAACAGTATTATGACATTGACAGTTAAAATGTCATGTAGAACTAAAAAAAATATAAAATATTTAGCTATGAAACATAATTTAATATGAAACAAATGGGAGAAAATAAGAATTTTTTTTCTCCCATTCTTTTCATATTAAATTATGTTTCATAGCTAAATATTTGATATTAAATGAAAGCCCTGTTTCCCCTGAATAAAATGATATATAATAAGGGTGGGTGCATTTACTATGAAAGAGGTGTATTACGGTTGGACAGACATGTAGCGCAAATGCCAGGTTTTGTTTACATTTTGTTTCGTTCACAACGTGTACATTTGGCTCAGTCTTTAAGGGGTTAAATGTAATTTCTACTAATATAAACAACACAGAAAGAAGAGAGAATAGGAGAATTTACAATGTGACAGGTAGATTTAGTCAGATACTGCATATGGTAAAAACTACAGTGGTTAAAAACTTAACTTTTACTTGGTACTGGATAAAAAAGTCCACCAACTGACGGGCTTCTACTAATTAACTTAGACTGATCAGAGGAATACTAATACATAATAAAACATAAACACAATTACAACAAGCCAAAAGTAACTTGAACAGATAGCAGTACTGATATAGGTATTATTTGCAAAATAGCCTCCTAAATAGGGGTGTACTGCAGGTTGACAAAGAGCAAAAAATTATAATAGCATACTCTTATGTTGAAAAGATATAGAAGTGGCTAAGCCAATTGTTTGATCTGTATGGGCTCATGTGTGTATAAACAATAAAATAATGTTACAGTATGGATGGAAAGGTAAGTTTGTTAGCGATGTTGTTACAGTTGAACTAATAAAGCAACAATGCTGAGTGACAGGGGAGGAAAGAACAACAGAGGGGAAAGGAAATAGATGTAACTGATAAGAACTTTCCCTATTGTGCCTTCGTAATCAACAGCTTGGGTTTTAATACCCTCTATTTTCTTTCTTTGAGCCAAGGTGGAGTGTCACCATTCAGTATGTCATCCTTATTAATGGAAGTAATAAACCCCGTAACAAGTCCTGGTGATCTAAATAATGTATTCTCACTACAACCACTCACTAACTCTAACACTAATGACATAAACAATTCATTTTTCTCTATACAAAATGTATATAAATCTCAGAACACTGGGAAATAGAGTCTTCGACAATATATGGAACAAAAACTGGTCCCTAGGGGGTTAAGACCAGAAATATCTACACCAGTGAAAGTAAATACTGACGACAAAATTGAATGGCTGAATACTATATTATTGGACTGCTCTTTCAAACTGATGCAATTCTCAATTGAATTAGAATTAGAACATTTTAATAAAATAAACCATAACCTACGGGAGGAGATCAATAGAGTAAAAATATTTCAAAATAATTCAGAATACCGCTTAATGGAAAGTAAATTAGAGAAAAACCTTGACATTTTCAGAAATCACATTAAAGAAAAAAAGCACCAAAAATTCTTAAGGGATTATAATGACTTTAAGGAAGACATCTTCCGAACCAAAAAACAACCAAGAAGGCACTTTAATAGGAGACCAAACTCTCTGACTAGATATACCGATGGGTCTGATTCAGATTCAAGTTACACCACAAGTAGAAGAGGCTCTCGGTCCTCATCACGTTCCCAACAACAGGGCACCAAAGGTATCCTACGAAGACAGGAGAAATCTGTGTCCTTTCTGGAAACTCCACTTCCCCCTGCCCCTACTACATCAATGACATTAATAGCTTTTTTAGACCAGGACTGGCCGACTCCACAAAGAGGCAGCCTAAGTAACAGAGGAAAGTGGGGATACAAACCGGAGGTAGTCAACAACAGACAGTAGACAGTATTAACGATGATAATGAAGATAATAAAATCATACATTTGTCAAATTTCACACTGTCTAGAACCCACATTTCACTACTAAAGAAAGGCTTATCTTTCATTCCTACTCCGGGAGCCAATAGATTAGATTGGCTCAAGGGTACCAATCTATTTGAGGAAATTGGCCCTGTGTGCCCTTCATAAACGAAAGGAACATAAATTGTGCAAGGAAATTGGTATTTCCTCAGAAGACCATCCCCATCTACAAACTCTAGCACAATTATTAGATGAACAGGACGATACTCCACCCCTCACAGACTTGAAACCTCCAAGCTGGTACACTCCTAATTTTAAAGAGCTCACTAATGTTGATCTATTTGTCCAAATAACTACCAACAAGATTGAAAAATTATTAATACCTAACATAGAAGAACAAAATCTGACATTTAATGAACAAGAGCTTTGCAGGAATTGAGTACCAACAAAAACCTCATTATAAAGTCTTCGAACAAAGGAGGTAACACAGTCCTTTTGAATTGCGACCTGTACATCTCAATGATAGACACTTCATGTTATGAAAAACGTACCAAGGTGTTAGAAAACTATATACTTTTATTCCCCAAGTTACTGTCCCTGCGTTCAGTTGATAAATCTATTGAACACCGACCACCCCCCTGGCTCATTAAGTTCAAAGAAACCCCAAAATTAAGTGCTCTCCCTGTGTGGCCGCCATTTGTATAACCGAACAACAAGTGCTGACGAAAATGGTGGCCATCTTGTCGCACGAAAGCAGGCAGCGGGACTTGGTCGTTGAGTGTCTGGAACTCTAAGTCTAACACTCGATCACGCGAACAGTGGGCAAACTTCACGAACACCTGCTTCGTTCCACGACAAACCTGGAGAGCGCTGTTCGGTAGGTTTGTTCGCACGAACAAGGCAAACAAACACTACCTCTTAGCCAGGGGAACCGCTCATTGTTTCGTTCGGTTTGGAACTCCCAAAATTGCCACAGAAACTACCACATACCACAGAAACTATGGAACTGTTTTGGGCGTGCGCCTCATGAGCGGTTGGCCAAAACTTTACCCCGGTGGTGATTCGACTGTGTTCGTGGAATCTATGTGCTATTTGCACAACTTGGGCGCTCAGGTCAAGGCTATCTGGCGATATGACATTTATGGGGGTTCCTATATGTTTTGTGTGTATTATTATGTATTTTTAATATTTTGTACTTTATGTAAAGTTATGATGACAGAATTTTGTGGGAGTTTTTGTGGGCGTGTATACTGTACTCCTGAACTGCATAAAAGCCGGCCATCTGGCCTGAATAAGCGTATTCCTGTTGTACCCTTCATCTAGTCTAGGCTGATGTTTGGCTATGTGACTGACAAACCGCTGGATTTACTTTCATGCTACAATTTGATTCTTGGGAACGTACAAATCAACGCTGTGGGCTATAATCACTAAGTCCCTAGCAGTTCGGGAGCATATGAACGAACGGTATACGAAATACCAGCGTTCATTACAATTGGTGGCAAGCGACAGAATCTGAACATTCGAATGGAACTCCCAATAACTAGTGAATGGCCCAGCTTTAGTAAAGGCTGGAACGAACCACGCTAAAAGATCTGCTGGAAACTCGGAGTTGGTCGGCAAGTAATAAAAAGAGAGCCATAATCATAGCCGAGCAAGCCAGCGATATAGTGGGATTAAGTTTGAAAAAAGCAGAGTAGAGAAGAAAGTGAGATGGCGGCTCAGTTTTTTGGGAGCAAACCCTTCACCAGAGCTGGTAGTGCAAATAATGGAACAAGTGTCCATGTCACAGACAGCACAGCAGTCTAGCATGTATCCAGGAGAGACTGCATCGTTACCAGGATCTACTAATAGAGGGCAGCATAAGAAAATGTATTATGCTGCTTTTAAAAACTTCACAGACGGTGAAATTGATGCTTATTTCCAGGATTTCCAAAGACAATATGCTCTGGAAGGTCTGGATAAAGAGAACTGGGCAGCGATCCTGAGCAGCAAGTTCTCAGGCAATGCAGCGGAAGCTTACCAGGCAGTACCCGACTCTGACATTCATGACTATGGGCGGGTAAGAGACATTTTGTTGGTCCGGGATGCTGTAACCCCCAAATCCTACATGAGGAAATTTAGGAAAGGGGAGCAGAGACTCTTATGCAGAATGGGTTTCCAGATGCACCGGGCTGCTAAGAACTGGATGCAGGGCTGCCAAGCAACCATCCTGGAGGATGTGTTACAATTGTTGCTACTGGAGCAATTTTTCAACCACACACCAAGTGAGAGCAGAGACTGGGTGAGAGATCGGAAACCGGGCATCATAGAGGAGGCAGCACGGTTTGCTGATGAATATCATGATGGGAGGAAGGTAGAAACAAGTGGAGGGCGACCATCTTAACTGACGCAAAGCACTCCTCCGCCACCCAGACCTGCTCCCTTCACTCCAGTACCCACTCAAGCACCCATCCAACGCCCTGCATTCCTGTGCCATACCTGCAACCAACCCGGGTATTTTAAACATAATTGCCCAAGCCGCAACATGGAGCTGAGAACTGCCAACTCTGCAACCAACCAGGGCCTCCGCTTACTGTTACCAGCAGGAGGTTCCCACCACATAAGGACACAATGAGGAGCAGTGGACTGGGCTACATGAGGCGAATCTGGTCCAAGCTGCAGACGACAACTGGGAACATCATAGGCAGTGGGTCACCATCGATGGACAGGAAGCAAGAGGCCTGAGAGACACGGGCGCCACCCTCACCCTAGTACAGCCGCACAAGATAAGTGCCCAAGCCCGCACCAACAAGACGGTAGCTGTGAGGGTGGCGGAAGGAGCCATCCATAAGCTCCCTACTGCTTGAGTGCACCTCAACTGGGGCTCGGGAGCCAAGCATTAAGAGGTGGACATCATGAAGGAACTACCAGCCGAGGTGTTACTGGGAAACAAACTGAGCTGCCTGACATCCTAACTCTCCCACCTCTACCCAGAGGAAATGTACCCGGTGACCACTAGATTGCAAGCCTGCCGAGGGGAGCCGTCGCACTCCAAGGACACTCAGGTAGGACCCACTGCAAGATCCTTTCATGTGAACATGCTCAAATCCTACTTCGAGAGGGTCGAGCACGTGGCCGCTGTATGTGCCCCTTCTTCCGAAGATAGTGAGGGCCTTCCCCTACCTGACTTGCTCGCCCCATCCCCTGGTACGGTGGAGAAGGTCAGTCTTGGAGAAAAAATTAACCCCTTTAGAAAAGGCAGATGCCACCCAGCTACTCCAGGGATACAGGGAAATATTTTCCTCATTGCCAGGGTACACCTCCTCTGCGGTCCACCAAGTTGAGTCTCAGGGAGAAATTCCCTTATGGAAACAACCTTACCGTATTCCTGAAGCAGTCAGAGATAACATGCTCAACGAGATTCAGGAGCTGGGGGTCATCAAACCCTCCCAGAGTCCCTGTGCTTCTCCGGTAGTACTGGTACCCAAGCGAGATGGAACGACTCGCTTCTGTATCAACTACTGAAAACTTAACGACAGGACAGTTACCTATGCCTACCCCATGCCCAGGATAGACAAGTTACCAGATTGACTGCCATAGATCTGTGTAAAGGTTACTGGCAAATCCCCCTGGAGCCAGCAGCCATTCCTAAGTCGCTATTCATCACCCCATTTAGGTTATACCAATTAAAAGGGACACTATAGTCACCAGAACAATTACGCTTATTTAATTTGTTCTGGTCAGTAGAAGCATTACCTTCAGGCTCTTTGCTGTAAACACTGTCTTTTCAAAGAAAATGCAATGTTTACATTACAGCCTAGTGATAACTTCACTGGCCACTTCTCAGATGGCTGTTAGAGATCATTCCTGGGTCATTGCTGCCTAAAATGCATCCAAACATTCAGTATCTCCTCCCTCTGCATGCAGACACTGAACTTTCCTCATAGAGATTAATTGATTCAATTAATCTCTATTAGGAGATGCTGAGTGGCCAGGGCTGTGTTTGAATTGTGCTGGTTATGCCCCTGATCTGCCTCTTTGTCAGTCTCAGCCAATCCTATAAGAAAGCATTGTGATTGGATTAGGCTACCACTTCTGCTGATGTCAGCAGGCAGTGGCCAGATCTAAAGGAAACAGGGACAAAGCTAGCAGCTCCAGGCTTGAATACAGGTAAGATATTACTATATTTAGGGAGGCATGAGGGGACCAGGGTGGATCTAACCCTACCAGAGGGAACCATCTGGTGGTTCTAACCCTATAGGGTCAGGAATACATGTTTGTGTTCCTGACCCTATAGTGCTCCTTTAACCCCTTAAGGACACATGACATGTGTGACATGTCATGATTCCCTTTTATTCCAGAAGTTTGGTCCTTAAGGGGTTAAGGTTATGCCTTTTGGGATGAAGAATGCCCCGGCTACCTTTCAGAGGATGTCCGACAGGCTCCTAGAGGATTTCAGGACTTTGTGTGTGCGTATTTAGATGATATAGCCATTTACAGCAGCACATGGGAGTACCACCTGAAACACTTATCTATGGTACTGAAGCGAATTCAGGCAGAAGGGCTCGCTTTTAAGTCTGACAAATGCCACGTTGGTATGGCTGAGGTGCACTACCTCGGTCATTGGGTAGGTTCTGGCAAACAGCGACCAGAACCGCCAAGGTAGAGGCTGTTGATAAACAGACAGGACAGGGGTAGGTTATTTTGGCATTAAGGGGTGCCCACGAAGGCACAATAGGGAAAGTTCTTATCAGTTAGATCTATTTCCCTTCCCCTCTGTTGTTCTTTCCTCCCCTGTCACTCTGCATTGTTGCTTTATTAGTTCAACTGTAAAAACATTGCTAACAAACTTACCTTTCCATCCATACTGTAACAATATTTTATTGTTTATACACACATGAGATCAAACAATTGGCTTAGCCACTTCTATATCTTTTCAACATAAGAGTATGCTATTATAATTGTTTGCTCTTTGTCAACCTGCAGTACACCCCTATTTAGGAGGCTATTTTGCAAATAATACCTATATCAGTACTGCTATCTGTTCAAGTTACTTTTGGCTTGTTGTAATTGTGTTTATGTTTTATTATGTATTAGTATTACTCTGATCAGTCTAAGTTAATTAGTAGAAGCCCGTCAGTTGGTGGACTTTTTTATCCAGTACCAAGTAAAAGTTAAGTTTTAACCACTGTAGTTTTTACCATATGCAGTATCTGACTAAATCTACCTGTCACATTGGAAATCCTCATATTCTCTCTTCTTTCTGTGTTGCAAACTTTTTTCAGAGGTTATCTCCCAATTAGGAGGACACGCCAACATCGGCTCTGCCTTCTTTTTCTTTCTTTTTTCTTTAATCTAAATATTCTACTAATATATACATACATACATACATGTGGTGCCCTGAGAAACTTGATCCTATTGCTTTAAATAATTTATACAATATATAGGGTAATTAACACAGAAGCATTTGGTTAAAATATAGCCATCTTGGGTTTCTGGTGTTCTTTGAGTCTTATGGTTTATGATCATGTTTCCAGAACCCTAGACGCCACCATTTCCTTGTAACACCTGTCTCATTGCTTTTCTACAGTTCTTTAAGAATATTTCCAGAGCCGCAAGCTAATGGTTACATAATACCACTTGGCCTGACTGTAAATAAATTCAAGGTCTTGGTAACTGGAAACCTTAAGGTTTTACTCAGAATATTTGACTTTTGTCTCAGATACACTAAATAATCAGAATAGATCTTCTTTTCTTGCACACATGTTTTTTTTCAATAAGATGCCATAAAATGTCGCATTAATTGTGTGCATGACTGGTAATTGATTCCTATCAAAAACTAATGAACAAGTTCACTAATTATCCCCGAAAAAACCCACATAATCTTACTATAAGCAATCTATCAAAACAGAACAATACACCAGAGTAAATCAATTAATTCCTCTCCTTATTAATAATTCAAAAAATATATTCAGATTATTAAAACAATGGCAGATAAAATAGCACACAAAAAATCTTTATGAAATAAGGTGCTAACAGTACACCTAACAGTAATGACGCTGTATGTCTGACAACCAGGAGGGTGTAACAAGGTTAGTTTATAAAAGTGCCAACTTCTATTGAAATCCCCACTTTTTGTAAAATAAAAAAAGCAGACACTCTAAAGGAGATCAGCAACTTAAAGTGCTTTAGGGGTCCGGAGCGTCCCTTTAAAATGAGTGTAGTCTTCATGAAAGGGACATTGATCTGGAAATAGATGGTTAATCTCTAAAATGAGTTCTGAAATTGGAAATGGAACACAGCACCACACTAGTCAACTTGGATAAATAAATAGTCTAGGAATAAAATGTTGAGTGGAGCTGTCCACTCTCTCACCCGGTGAAGAGTTATTTAATCAATTTAGGAAATGCAATACATCAAGAAGAGAGAGTTGATGGATGCCACAAGCCTAAACATTAATGGATTCATCAGTGATAATTGAGATTAAATTTAAAGAGATGAGACACAAAACAGGGAAAAATGGAAGATGTCTAACTAAGAGCAGGTTAGGTTAAGTAAGGTATATGTAAAGCAAGTGATAATTTGTCAAATGCAAAACATTTACAGAATGTCTCAGTTGTGTGTAACTGCAAGTGATAATTAGAGGTGAATGATAGCAGGTTTGGAAACTATGGTCTTTGAATGAAAAGAGTGGATATTAGTTAAGTACTTGTAGAAGAGTTGGGGTTAAGGATTCTGAAAAAAAAATTGCATGCCTTCATAAAAAAGAATGGAGCCAAAAAAAAAAAAAAACCTATTTTTTATGGTTTTATTATTAATTTACTTTACTCTATATTTTAAGGAACACTATAGGGTCAGGAAAGCATTGAATAGACTAGGAGCAGGCAGGTAAAACAGAACGGAGTATGAGACAAAACGATTTGTATCTACAGGACCAACATTCGAGGCTGTAGCCCCCCAAGTGATGTCCTTGGGAAAAGGTTAACACAAGTTAAAGCTGATTTTCAATGTTTTATTCAGTGGTGTAAATTTAAGAGAAGGTACCATTACCTGTTTAAAGTAATAAAACTGATGTTTTTCAACCATTTTGTTTAGTCACTGTGTAATGCATGTGTCTGTGTGTAATTTGTTTGTAGTGTTTTCCAATAAAATGTAAAGGATTTTTTTGCCTTGCTTTCTTAATGTCTTGTATATAGAGCGTATTTCCCTGCACTCCTGACTTTATATCTCATTTTCCACTTTTTATTGTAAACCCAGTTTCCCTCACTTTTCAGTGCAAGGTTTTCTCTAATGCTTTTTATTTGAACCTGTGTCCTGTTATATTTGTTTGTTTACAAATAATAAAAACAGATTAAAATGTGTTTAACCCCTTAAGGACGGAGCCAAATGTACACGTTGTGAAAATGTAAACAAAACCTGGCATTTGCGCTACATGTCTGTCCAACCGTAATTCACCTCTTTCATAGTAAATGCACCCACCCTTATTATATATCATTTTATTCAGGGGAAACAGGGCTTTCATTTAATATCAAATATTTAGCTATGAAACATAATTTAATATGAAACAAATGGGAGAAAATAAGATTTTTTAAAAAAAATTTTAGTTCTACATGACATTTTAACTGTCAATGTCATAATACTGTTTGCTTTTACTGCAATAAAATACACATTTTTGTATTCAGCGATGTCTCACGTGTATGACAGTACCCCCTATGTACAGGTTTTATGGCATTTTGGGAAGTTACAGGGTCAAATATAGCATGTTACATTTGAAATTGAAATTCGCCAGATTGGTTACGTTGTCTTTGGGACTTTATAGTAGCCCAGGAATTAAATTTACACCCATAATGGCATACCATTTGCAATAGTAGACAACCCAAGGTATTGCAAATGGGGTATGTCCAGTCTTTTTTAGTAGCCATTTGGTCACAAACACTTACATAAATATATATGTAGAATGAATATATGTATATATATATATATATATACGTATGTGTATATATATGTATATATCTATATAATTTAAAAAAAATATTTTTATAGTGATATATACGTATATATTTATGTATATAGATATATATATTATTTCGTTCTATGTGTATTTTGATATATATATATATATATATATATATTAATTTCACAATACAGTTAGAACGAAATAACACACATCTATATATTTTTTAATTATTTATTTTTAATTATTTTTTTAATTTTATTTTTTAACGTATTTACATATTACATTTTTTATATTATATATAAATATATATATATATAACAATAATTATATATATATTTAATCAGTATCAGTCTACGTGTAATTTGATATTAATATATATATATAGTTATATATATATTAATAGTAAAATACACCTAGACAGTGTATGAGTGTGTATGTATATGTGTATATATATATATACTTAGATCTGTGTATATGTGTATATATATATATATATATATATATATATATATGATCTAAGTATATAATATATTTATTTTTACACTTATTTTTTTTTACACTTTTTTTTACACTTTTAATTTTATTTGATTTGATTTCCAGCCAGCAGGGGGCCACCTGGCATTACAGGCAGCCCCCCTGGTGGCAATGCTGCAGCCAGCTATCCCGGCCATGTGATTGTGAGGTCCTCGCAAGGACCTCACTCTCACATGGCCGGGGGGCTTCCAGGGGGTCGGACGTGCCGCGGGGGGCTGTTATGTGGTTTTGGATTGTCGTTGGGTATTTCCTTCTTTACATAAAATGTCTCTGGACTTTCCATTATTTATCTACAGGTGACTGGATACATGCCCAGAAATAATTAAAATAAAATAGTATTGTGACCCTGTAAATCTACCTATACTGGCGCAAGGTTAGATACCCCCATTCTGCCTTCTGTTAACAAAAAAAAACATAACCCTTTCTATACCCTGCCAAATTTAGTATGCCCAGTATATTACAAAATATAGTTTCACATACTACAGTGTGTGAGAAAAATCCTCACTGGTATTTGTCTGTGGCAGTGCTCCACAAATAATGGCAATTTGGAAGCCGCACACTAAACTTTTTCCCAATGCATAAAAATAAAAGCTTGTTTAACATACAGATAACAAAAAGACGGTGGCCATGTCTCATTAAATCCTTGGAAACAGAACACTTATTGCAGTAGGAGTTCCTTGTCAGCTATCTACCAGCTTGGCTCTCAGCTTCCTCTTCTTCTGACAGCTGCAAACATTACTGGAGGTCTCACTGTGTCAAGGAAATGACAAATAGAAAGGGAGTTCTGACAGGCTACAAAACAGCAGAGAGCTGTGACCCCATAAGCACGTACAAACTGTAAGAGATCGAGAGAAACCTTCTCAAAATGCCTACCAAGCAGCTTATACAAGGGATAATTACATGGAAAACACTTGTTAGGATTTCATATTCTGCTGTAAAATGCATGTGTAGTTTCCAGGCAGTGTCATTTTATTGATTCAGGACACTATGTGTAACCCCTGAATTATACAGCGATAGAAAGAGACCAAGGGATTAAGAGAGAGGAATGAACTATTATGTCTTGACTTCAGAAACATATTCTGATTTCCTTACTTTACTGTGTGAAAATCTTTTAAAGTGACTCTTGTCATAATCGGATTCCTTTGCATATTTTACAAAGTACCACCCTCCCCAATAGTAATCTTGCCGCCTGTCCCGCTAGACCCTACTTTTTATGATGTCTTGTGAATTAGTACAAATAAGGTGAAATTAATTTTTACCACTTTTAAAAGACCTTTAAGGTCACATAGACCACTTTCTCTAACTTTAAATGAAGTGGTCTGTATGCAGTGGCCCTGTCACGTTAACCCATTAATGTAAAACATTGCCATTTTGTAGAAACAATATTTACATTGAAGAGTTAAAGCAGCTGTTTTTAAATCTTCCCCATGTCCCCCAGCCTATATATCCCTCCCTCAAGCCCTCCGATCTCCTCCACATCTCCCTTCGGCACCGGCGCTACTTAGATTTTCTTCCATTTTGCTGCTCTTCTTAATATATTAATATTAATACTTAAAAAAAAAAAGAGAGAGAGTGAGATGTCCGGGGAGGGATTTGGACATAAAAAAAGGCGCAGATCCCGTTTAAAAACATATCAAGTGGCTGTGTTCCTGATAGCCACTAGAGGAGCTTCTGCCTCCAGAACCAAGTCAAAGTCAATCAAATACTGCTATACAGGGCTGGCATAGGCAGCCGCCTTAGGGTGCACCATTGTTGCAATGTTCAAGTGACTGACAGTAGGGGTGCACACAGCGCTTCCTTTCCTGCCAATCACCCCATGTAGCGTGACCACGATAGAGAATCTTCTGTGTCCTCTATCTAGTCTGAGATGAAGCTATTTACTGGAAGCAGCAAACAACTTCATGTCAGACTGGGTAGAGAATAAAGAAGATCTTCTACCATGGTCCACGTGGCCACTCTACAAAAGAGGATAAGAGGCGAAGGGGGTAGAGAGAAGCACAAAAGGAGTTGCGAGAAAAAGACATACAGAGGGGTGTGGGGAGAAGGAGGAAATGGGGGTGGAGAAAAAAAGAGACACACAGAGGGGCTGGGGGGGGAAAGAGGCACATTAGAAGGGGCTGTGGTGGAGAAAGAGACACACCTGAGGGTAAGATAAGAAAGATAGATGCAAAAGCTGATTTGAGTATGTACTTAGAATGCATATCATAAAGAAGCTGCTTTGTGAAATGAGGTAGGCATGGATAAAGGGGTCAGAGTTATATGGCAAAAAGCAGTAAAAACTTTTTAATTTTTTAAGTAAACTTAAGAGAGTTGAAAAGGAAGGGATAAAAACACAGCATGAGTATGAGGCCAAAAAAAATGCACTTAAGTTATGTTGGTGCCCAGTGCCCCAGAAAATGCATCTATCCCTAGTTCCAACCTGTTCCTTTAACTTGCAATAGTGTTATGAAGGAATACTGTACTGTTTGTGGCTTTGTGCTTTAGGCCCTTTTTATTTATGTATTCATTTGTATTTATAGTTTTTGCAGATTACAGAGTAAGGTAAAACTGTATTACTCGCATCTTGTTATACAAAAAAAACCAAGATAGGCCTTCAGCCTTCTTATACAGCATTCCAAATCATCGCTATAAATAAAACTGTCCAAAATACCTATTTATACTCAAATACCTAGGGCGTGCATACATATGCCTGGGCATTGTGTGGAAGCAGAACTGCTACTGGGTAGCATGATGCTCACTAAAATATCTATTCCAGGCTTTTTGTGTAGGTAGTAAACCTCAATACAAGCACTGCACTAACATTATACTGATCACATACTAGTAATACCTCACTCAATTCTCTTTCTAAAGCCGCTAAGCTTATTCTGGAAAGTGACTGTCTTTCTTAAAAGGACAACATTCCATTCTATATGCATGCGCAGGCATGTGCATAACATTTCATAAAGCAGTGATACAGACAGCACTTAAACTATCCCATTAACCTTTGAGAGTATAGTCCAGAACGTATAAAGCACTGGGGTGAAACGCAGAAGAAAACGCTTGTCTGAAATGCAGTTGGTGTTCTTATTTCCATAAGTTTCCCTTTAACCTATGCCTCCTACATTTCCCAGCTTCACACACCAGTCTCTTCAATTTGTCTCAAAAGAGCACGCATCTGTCTGTTCCAGCTCTCAATCTAATGTGCATAATCACCTGTTACTTTGCAGCTTGAACTTTGCAGTTAACACAGAACCTGAATTACTAGTACAGTACATTCAGTACATTTTAGAGATGGAGTGGAAAGTAAATTTCTCAATATAAATTTATTTTATAGGACATGAAACATTTCGAAGATTGGAATTGCTGACGTATTTGCAGTTGATTCCAATATACGTTCTGGTAAAAATAGCCTTTGTGCGATGTTGTATGTTTCTCTAGATTTACAAAGGACTGGAGTGACAATCTGAGTCTTTGGATATTTTTAAGGTGGAACATAAAATCTTCTCTTCTCAATATAGAGTTTGTGTGAATTATTGGGAATTGGAAGTTCATTGAAAATTTGAGGCCAGAAAAGACAAATTGAAAAGATTCTCACAGAGATAGATAGCTATGGCCTAGAAATTTAAAATCTCCACAGAGTTTCTAAGATTTCACACTGTAGTGATTAACCCTTAAAGGAATTTATTCACTAAACACAAAATTGTAGTAAATT